AAAAAACTTCCAAATGGTTTTTCTTTGTCTGCTTCCTTCTTCTGCAGCACTATTGCTGGGGACCTTTTGTTTCTTTTCGGGTTGGATCTATTTGTGTTGAAATTTAGTTCTTAATGATTCTAAAAGAGGCTTCAGTGTCATCTTCAAATGCAGAAAAAATATATTATTTTGGTACAGGGTATTTTCCTTGGCTACTTCCATTCAAACATTTCATTGTTCCGCTATTCTCATGTTCCTGGTCATCCATTCCTTGCTATTTTGTGTGTGTTTATTCTCTCCAGGTTCATCCTCTTGTATACTTACATTTTCCTTCTGGTCCTGGGTCAACTTCTGTAGAATTTGGTGGATCTGGCTGGTTCGGAACGTGCAGCTAAGACTGGAGCTGAAGGTGTTCGCTTAAAGGAGGGCTCCCACATCAACAAAAGCCTGATGACCTTAGGAACTGTTATAAAAAAACTGAGTGAAGGTGCTGAGAGCCAAGGGTAAGTATAAATTACTACTGAGCTCATTTACTCAGACTATTATAGCAGTGATGTATTACCCAAAATATTGCAGAGGGCATGTCCCTTATCGAGACAGCAAACTCACGCGTATTCTGCAACCAGCATTGGGTGGGAATGCAAATACTGCCATAATTTGCAATATTACACTTGCACAGGTGATTTTGAGAATTACCTTTCCTTGAAATGATATAAATCGTTATGTTGATTTCTTGAAGAAAGGTCAAAGGATTATCAGTGATACCGAATTTTTATTGGATTCACTTGTAGGTTACGAATCTTACAATTCTTTAAGATGTACTTATCGATATTGCCTTTCATCCTTATGTCTTTTTTTATCTGGTGTATGCTTTTAGTTAGTTTCTTATCTGAAGCAAAGAGATCAATATTATATTACAAGGTAATTAGTGCCTTTGAAAATTGAATGTTGGTTGAGGTTGGGACGATGCTCCAGGGTGAAACCAGAACTAGACCGAGTTTGAAAATGTTGCTGGAAGCTTGGCCCTTTGTTATACTTAAAATGCTTATTTGTTTCTCTTAGTCCTATTTACATATTGAATTATTCATATGGGACTTTGGAATTTAAAGCTTGAGGATTTATCTTCTTTCTAGAGAAATTTGAGCTGTTTTTCTTTGTGTGCCTGTGCAACTGTTGATGCTCATCCATCCTGTGCTTGCTTATAATTGCAGATCCATGCTGATGAAACTAAAAGTAGTCTTCAGTTTGCTAGCAGAGCATTGCGCGTGACAAACTGCGCTCATGTCAATGAGGTAATACCCTTGAGTGACAACCTCCTCATAATTGTACTCCTATAGACGTTAATCACCATCTTTGAATATATATAGCTTTAACCTGAAATTATTTTTAGTACCAATCTTCTCACTTGTTTTCAGGATAGGTTATCTGGAAACCTGTCTCTTTGTTACTTCAGAGTAACTTCCTCTCTTCTGTTACTGTCGTTGTAGTTGATCTTGTCTTATTGTAATGGCAGATACTGACTGATGCTGCGTTGCTAAAACGTCAAAAGAAGGAGATTGAAGAACTTCGAGCTAAATTGCTGGTAGGTATTGTGTTAGGACGGCATCACATGTTTTTTAGTTACTACATTAGTGGTCATGGTAGCTGATGCCCGAGCTCTATGAACGATAGGCTAAAAATAGGTTCCTCTATCTTCACCATTGACCAAAGGAAACTAGTGAGGCATTTCTGTTTGCTTGTTCACAGGGTTTACATTCCGAACATCTTGAAGAGGAGATATTGAATCTGCGGAATACTTTGCTAAAGGTACTTCTTCATTTTTCTACCATAAATTAAGTCGCATGCATATGTTAAGGGATGTTATCCTTTGGTAGAGTGAATTGGAGAGAGAGAGAATCTCTTTAGAGCTGGAGGAAGAAAAGAGAGCTCAGGCTGAACGCGAGAAGAGGTTACAAGAGCAAGCCAAGAAAATAAAAAACTTGAGTTCTATGGTACTTTGTGCAAACAGAGAAGAGAATAGTGACGTCTACAAGAAGGTATGTAACTGTCTAAATGTATCTTTAATGAATATTGACTTAGCCTTTGTTTTCTCTTTTAAAAGGTTTATACATAGGATCTTTTGTTGAAATTAAATAGTTTATTGTCTTCTCATTATTTATGGTAAGAAAAAAAGCAAGTTACAGTAGATTATTATAGCTGCTGTCATGTCCTACAGTGACTTCATAGATCCAGTTGCCTTCAATTCGAGTTGAAAGCATCTGTTACTTCTCAGAAACCTTTTGCTGTCATGATGAAAGCTAATGCCGTATTTTATTTTCCTTTCCTGTCAACTCTTCAAACCTGGATGAACCATTTTGATGCTTCATGGACAAGAAGCATGCATATGCCGTCACCCTCTATGCTTTGTTCTCCATGACACTCTTTTCCGGTTTTACCATTCTTTCTCAAAATGTGTGACTAACTATACTATTGTTTCTGATTCTAACGATCAGGAGATGGGAATCTTCTTGCATAGGTTTGTCTCTAATAAATTAGAAGAAAGTAAAAATAATAACACTTATCCGCATGGTTGTATTGTGTGTGTTCTGAATGGTAGGCAAAAAGACGCGATACCTGGTGCCCTGGAAATCTTGCAAGGAAGAATTTAAAAGAGGTAACAGTTTTACTTCTCCGACAACGAGTTACAAAACTCATGCTTTCACATCTTTTTTGACCACGTGTTGATGCATAAACGGAAGCAATTATCATTTTTCTAGTTGAATTTTGTTTCTTGTTGAAGTTGGAAGTGTATTAATGTTTGAGTATACAACTTCAAATAATGTTTTATGGCAACATGCTATTTTAGTTCTTATACGGTGTGTGCTAGTATTTGCAGTTGTTACTGATGAGTGACAACATATATTTTCAGACAACCTGATTGGACTTACTGTGAATTTGTTTCCACATCATATGGATCCTTTTATTTTAGCAACTGGTTGCCTTGAGATCTTAAGACCTCCATATATTCTGTATGAACAACATTTGTTTGCCTTTAACATTTTAGTAGTTACTGCTTTACTAATGTCCATGAGAATCCATTGACATTCTTCCTTTTTGCTGTAGTTGTCACCTGTAGTTGAAGAGCACCTCTCAGAAGTGAAATCAGCAGGAACAGCAGTGGGGTCACTTCTTCCTTTTGAAGAGTTAGTTAAAGAAGAAAGTACTAATGAGCTCAGAAAACAAGACGAAGACTGTAAACGCAGTGCTTTGGAAGATCCTAGTCTTCCTGATCCTCATGCTCTGCTGCATGTTACCAGTAGGCGAAAAGTTGCACCCAAGAAACAAAGTTCAACTATGGTTCTAACATGCTATATATTTTTCCTTTACATTTTTAATTTTCTCTGGGGATTAACTGCTTCTTTTGCAGGAAAGCGATGGCTTTGCTGAGCTGCAAGCAGATTATGAAAATCTGCTTATAGAATTCGAAACTCAAGTTAGTTTTTTCTTTATTCATTTTTATACGTGGTGACTGTGTTTAAGCTCTCTTTCTCATCACTAGCCTTTTCGTTCTATAGCGGATAATGAGTGACATCCAAATTGATCAATTAATGTCGAAGCTTGAGGTGGCTGATCAGAAATGCAAAGAGTGTGCTGTACAGAACATAAATTCTTTATCCCATAAAGATGGAACTGGAAGTTTGAGGGACTCAGATGCTATACTTGTGATTAAACAGCTTCAAGAAAAGGTTTTCCCTCGTGTTTTGCTTTTGTTCTCTAATGTTCTCGTTGTTTTCTTTCATGTCATTTCTGCTGAGTAGAGAATATTGTGGATAAGTGAAACAAGTGAAATACACAAGTTTTCCTCCTGGGATCTTATGTGCTGTAAACTCTATCAAAATTGATATGCAGATTGCTGTTTTGGAGATGGAGAAATGCTCAAGCCAGAAGCAACTGGATTCTGTTGTCGATTTGGCAACTGAGCAAACTATATCTGCACAGGAGAAATATGAAAAGGTTCAAGTTCTGACCTTCAGAGGCAATCGAACAATTCCTTACTGTTGTATGGATTAGAGAAATTTCAGAGCTTTGATACAGTCATGTAATTGAGTTAACAGATTTGAACTTTTTCTTGATTATATTATCCCTACTGGTCCCTTTTTTACACTACAGTTGAGTAGAATCTTGGTTTATTCATCTTCTATGGTTGAATCATCATTAGCTCTAGGTGCTCACTGGTGTATATTTGTTAGTGAAATGGAGATGAAGATTGACCAGGGTTTATTGCTTATTTAGAGCTTAATTTAAGCTAGAATTTGTCTAAACAGGGGCCTAGAAGTGGATTAATGGATAGTGAAATGTGATACATCAATGGTAGTAGATACCTCGAAACTTGGCACTTGGCAGTATTAATTGAAGTTTGAGAAACTTTCTGTTGTGACCTGAGATTGTTTGGTTATGTAATCATAATGCATTTGAAGTTGCAATATATTGCTTCTGTGCTAACTTTAATGTTTAAATACAGCTTTGTGAGGAACTAATACTTGCACGAGAAGAAGCAACTCAAGCACATGACAACCTTGCTCTGGCAAATCCTTGCATGGTAGGTGGCTAGAGGTTCAATATATGCATGAGTTCCTGTTCAGAATTTGTTTCAAGGAATTTATTGTCATTAACCATTTTCCAGGAAGATTCAAATTGGTTGATCAGTTTATTAACGGAGGCTGAGGAAATAAAACTGGAATTTGAAAATTCAAGGAATATTATTTGGTCGCTCTCCTCTGTAGTGGATGAACTTCGCAGTTTCTTATCTGTGACGCCAGACCTGATTCATGTCAGTGAACACTTTCTTGCATTTTTAACTATGAGTCTGCACAAAAAGAAAGAATTGTTTACTTCGTTACTTATGCACTTAATGTTGGAAATCATTCCTCTCATGTAGCAGTGTTATTTGGCGATGTACAAACAACATTAACTTGTTATGATTGACAATTTTTTCTATCCATAATTTTGTATTGCATGTGCAGGACCTTCGTCCTTCTGTTTCCCAGACAATGGTTCAAATAGAGTCATTAGCAAGGAACCACAATAAGGCACAATCTTTCTTAAGGAACAAAGTTTGCGAACTTGAAGATGAAAAAGTATTTACCGTAGTTTTTAGTTTTTTCTTTTGTTTTGCTTGTTCATATTTCGTAACGTTAACTGATTTTGCTTATTGTTGTTGAGATATAGCTTGTTCTTAGCAATCAAGCTTCAGATCTTCGTAGTCGGATAGACGAATTAAATTCAGAAGTTCAAGAATCTAGAAATGCATTCATGGTGAGTTTATTTACTTCATTTTCACCTTTTTCTTGTTTGCATAGTCGGCAATTTCTTACCTTTCCAATTCTTTTCTGAAGGAACTTAACAAGAAACAGGAAGCTGAAAAGACAGAATTTCAGTGTCAACTTCAAATGCTCCAAATGGAAATTTCATCGTTATCAACATGTGCCCTAGCGAAAGAAAAAGAAAATATCAGAAAGGAATTGGAGAAAGCAAAATCAAAATTAAAAGATACAGAATTCAAGCTCAAGAATGCTGTACAGGATAAAACAAAGCTCGAGGTCTAACCCAATGTTTTGACTTATTATTTCCATATGCTTTTTCGTCTAGAAGTTTTACTCATGAATGCACTTTGCTTGATCTCAGGGTGAGAAGGCGTGTGCAGAGAGAGAACTTAAAAAAGTGCAAAGCCAGAAGGCTATGCTTGAGCGTGACATGAGCAAGCGCGAGTCTATTATTGGCAGAAGACGTGATTCAATTATGGACAAGGGCTCAAATATTTTTGATTATAAACGTAACAAAGGGTCTAATTTGGCTGAGCTGGAGGTGATCAGATATATGCAAATGAAATATTACACTATGTACAGAATTATTGCTTCAATAAACAGCATTATATTTTTGCAAGTCCCTGACCAGCATGTTTAGAATGGGTGAGAACTTGGAGAAAATAGTTAGAGAGATCTCATAGGTGGCACCATATGTAAATTAATGTTGATCGTTTTAAGCACGGATAATTTTCATTAGTTCCATGTAGTTCTTTGAGGGGGAGGAATGGAAAGAGGATATAATGCATTTTTCGAACTTTTGATTGTTTCATTTATTTATTGTGCAGTATGTCTGTCTTTCCTTATAACATTAACCATACGTGCTGTCTTTCTAAATAGGAGTACAAGAAGATGGAAGTGCTAGCTTTCGAGATGGAGGCCACAATCGCATCGTTAGAGGACCAGTTGGCAACAGCAAATGAGGAAAAAGATATAGCCACCTCCAGAGCTGAGAGTCTGGCTGTCGATTTGCAGTCATTGTCGGATGAATTGTCATTATCAAATTCAGAGTCGAGTGCACTGAAGGAAGAAGTTTCAGTTCTTGTAAGCTTTTGTAGATTGAAACTCATGTTTCTAGAAATTATTTGTTATAGTAATGTTTCACTTATTTCCTTGGAATGCTTATTAAATGTTACTAATTTATTCAAGTTTTTACCTTGACAACATTTCAGAGAACATGCCTGGAAGAATCAAGGTCTCATGTAGAGGAATTGGAAAGTTTACTAAAAACGTTATCAGAAGAAAAGGAGGACTTGTCAATGGTATCCTAAAAAATAATATTAGTTAGAAACGCTTTTAACATATTCATTGTTTCTTTGGTGCTAACTTTTATTTTTGCTCCCTGCAGCAATTCACTGAGGCTCTTTTGGCTATGGAGGAGGAGAAAGCAATATGGTCATCCAAGGAGAAAGCTTCTTTTGAAGTCATCGGAGAAAAGGAAAAAATGTACACTTCTGAAATTGTTTCACTATCACAAAAGTTGTCAGAGGTAATCTTTTCTAGACACTTGACACTTGTGATATTTTCATTAAAAGAACTCAAAGATTTTTGATTTTGTTTTTTATGGTTTGTATCTAGATGAGGGGGTCCTTACTTTTGTGGCCTATATCTACTGTATCTCATTGTCTAACGAAGTTGACATTTATTTATAATTTGGTGCTATTAGGCAAGAAATGAATTGGAGGATTGTAGAAAAAACTGCGAAGATCATGAACAGTTGCTACAAAAGTTGGAGGAAAATGCCGCTTTGCAAAAGCGGTGCAGGTTTGTCCTGCGTTCTGATGTTTATTTACAAAATATATTAGGAAGTCAACTTCTTTGTAAATGAAGATTTTACCATCCAAAATCTCAAAATCTCTCCACCGATTCGTTTTTTCTATGTTGCATGCGCATATGATATGACTTGTTTGTCATTCATTCTGATGCTCAGATGCTTTAATGATAAATTATCGGAAATCAACCCCACAAATGAACAAAGTGTTCCCGATGATCCAAGCAAAAGATCTCCAGAGGTAAGATATTATTTTCGTTGCTTCTTTTTTGTTCTTACCCAGAGCTTTGGACTTTTTTAGCTTATTATGAATGGAGATCAAAACATTCTTTCAGATTTCTAATTCCCAAATGAGCTCTGAGTGCCAAAACCCATACGAAGAAATTGAAGTCTTACGATTGGAGATGAGTGGTCTTAGAAAAGAAAGGCAGTATTTATTGTCCCAGGTTCAAGAATTGGAAGCAAGACAGCCTGTTTTGCAAGATGACACTCAGGTTTTAATATTTTCTTCACAACCAAATCAAGAACTATATTCACTTGCCTGGAATCTCATTTACTGCCTTTCAAGGAGAATATTATGTAGATAACCATTTACCAACTAGACTACTTTTTTGATAAGGCTCAAGCACAACAATAAATCTTGTAGTTATCTCATTATATTATGACGAGGGAAAATGACAATCTAATTAATTATTGTTTTAACCACAAATTGGTCACCTGATAATAATTTACAGGTAATAACGTTAAAACACGACCTGGAGCAGCAGAGTTTCAGACTTACTAGCATGGAGGAAAAGATGCATAATGTAAGGGATACCTTTTTCATGCACACAGAAGCTTTTTAGCTTGATAAAATATATTTAAAAAAGAAGCACCCCACCACAAAAAAATTTAGGTGGCATTTGAATTTCATGTTATCTGTTGCTTTAAAGATACAATTTCCTCTTTTGTCAATAAGCTATATGAATTCTTTTATTTTTAGGTTTATTATTATTATTATTATTGTGAAAAATATGCGATTCATCTTTTTAAGCATCACCAGAATCGGATTAATAGCGACATGGAGAAGATGAAACTCAGGATGAGACTCCACTGCACTCAGGCAAAACTCGACACGTTTCGCGTTAGATACCGGGAGTCGGTGGACGAGTTAGAATATATGAATAGGAAATTCGAGTCCGCTTCTAAGAAGCTAAAGAAAGAGTTGGCTATGTATGGTACTGAAGTTTTGCACCTGAAGAAGCAACTTGCTGGTTTTAAAAGACAATGACAAATGCCCTTTGGTTTTTTTCACCTCATTCATTGTAACTACGTAATTTCAGAAGTTCTTTTGTTCTATTTTGATTTTTTTTTTTTTGAAAAAAATTGTTCTGGCAATGGGGGATGTTAGTAATATGAAAATAAAGGCTGTAAATTATATATTACTAACTAAATTTTCAATGTGTTGTAATTACTTCATCTGATCATACGAAACAGGTATATTAAATATTAGATGATTACCATCATAAGGTCCATAGCTTACTTTCAATTTATCTTCTTGTAATTGTTTTGGTACGGTGATGAGTTATTAGTAAAGTGCAACCTACTGAAATTCATTTAGCAGTAATCTTAAAATCATCTACTTGTTGATTACTTTTGGATGATTTGATCAATCTAGGGGTATAAATTGGGCCAAGTTGAGCTCGATTTTCTTCTTATTGATTACTTTTGGATGATTTGATCAATCTAGGGGTATAAATTGGGCCAAAAGTTGAGCTCGATTTTCTGATACTCAGTGCACTCAGTTTGTTTCTTAATATTAACGTGCAGAGTTATAATCTTAATAAACCAAATTACAAGAATTATATAAAAATTATTATTTTGAAACCTTAACAATTTTTAATGAATCAAGTTCAAACTAAATGAGCTCTAAATCGTTTATCAAATAAGTCGTAACGAGCTTGAATTTTAACTAAACGGGCCAAGTTCACAAGTGACTCGTTTTGTTTCGCTGTTATAATCAATATTGATTATTTTTTCTTTTTATTTTTGTCAACTTAATTTTTTTAAAAATACGTTTTTTCAATAAAAACGTATTCTCAAAATACGTGCTTTTGATTTTGGTCCACACATTTTTTTTTGTTTTTATTTTTGTCCACTTAATTTTTTTATTTTTTAATGTGGTTAAAAAACCCTCTAAATGAGTGTCAAACAAAAAGATCATGAATAGTGCTCAATAAGATTTATACACAAGGTTTTAGAACTTAAGAGACTTCCAATCTTGAGACTTATGAACACTACTAAAATTCTTACAAGTAAATTTTATTTTAGTTTGAAGTTATATAATAATGAAGCTTTTACTATTCCAAATTTTTTAATGGACTCCACATCAAAGCTCAAGTGATTTCACCAAATTAGAAGTGACAATGACTAATACGATACGAAACACGAACACGATACGAGTAAAATTAAATACGAATATAAAAATAAAGGTAACGATTAGCACGACACTACACGAAACACAACAGAGAAAGGACGAAGAAAAAATATTAATAAATTTAAAATTAAATTAATATCATATTTTCTTTACAATAAACAAAAAGAGTACAAAAACAACATATTAAAATACCATCCGTACCACCAAACGCAAATGGTCTTTTCACTGTTCGACTTTAACGGGCTTAACTTCGATGACCTTTTCAAGACTTTATTCTATTGGGCCTTTGAATGGAATTTGTTGGTAAGACCAATTAAGTAATCCTTGTTGCTGGGAAATAAAATGACGCTGTCGAGTCGAAAAAAGGTTCATCTCTGCATGAAAAGAACAGACAAATTTATGCATTTGAAACACCCGAACAACGGCCTATTAGCTCAGCTGGTTAGAGCGTCGTGCTAATAACGCGAAGGTCGCAGGTTCGAGACCTGCATGGGCCATTTTAATTTTCATTTTGTATTTTTTCTCATCCTTTTAATTAAAATTTTCCCATATTTTTTCCCTAGCTTCTGGCTCTGGCCATTTCATAAGTTAATAATAGACAAATTGGGAAAATTTTCAAAACATTCATCATAAATTTTTAGTAAAGCATATCATAAAACGATGTTTGATTCCCTTTAGTCACTACATTTATACAACCTGCCAACCCTGTAAAAATTGTCTCACCATATCAAGCTATATCCTGTTGGCCATTCTTTTTATTTTATTTCCTTTTTCCTTTTATAACCCTTTTTATCTGTCTCCTACTTTAGAACACAAGAATAGAACAACCATTTGTCTATCAATCAAATTCCATTCTTAACAACATAAATCTGATTGGCTTATTCCCCGCAAAATGACCATTTTATTTGAGTGTTTCTTCCTATTGTGTCATTTACATAACTATGTAGTCATTGCTTCAAATTGGGACACATCATAACATTTAAAAAATATATATATATATATATATATTTATATATTCAAAGTTAGCTATTGATTATTATTTATAAAACTCAAATCCTCTCCACTTATTATATATTCCTTTTATTATTGTTCCGAGGTACTGTAAACCAGTTGAACCGAGCTCGAGCTTCAGCCTCTGATACTCGAGCTCGAGTCTTTGTGGTTAGTTGGACTTGCTAATGAAACGAACTGAGTTCGACTTTTATCAACACTAACAAGCCAAACTCGAGCCTAATTAACTAGTCGGGCTATAGAAAATTGCACAATTTACTATATTCGAGTTTTGAGTCGGCTCGTTCTAGCTCTGAAAAGTTCGAGGTCGACTTATATATCAAACGAGCTGAGTCAATTCGAACTCACAATCGACTTATTTTATTTAATTAATAGCTGGATGTAAAAGTATAGTTAATCCGGGAGTAATCATCTATATATAATAAAAAAATAACAATAAATTAATATTCATATATATGATATATATATATATATATATATATATATATATATATATATATAGCTTAAAAACACTTATTTTGAAAATTTATCTCATAGTCTCTCATTTCATAAGCGTTTGTTTTGAGGTTTTATCATTTGAACATTATTTATCAAACACGCTCTTAGTTACAGAACCCATGATTTGATGAACAAATCATTAATTGAATAAAAATCTATGGTTTAGTAGCATTAGGAATACGGAATTAATTAATGATCACGACATAGTGTTAGTTGAAATCATGTTATTTCATATGCTAATTTTGGGCTAAAGACATTTAACAAGAAAAAAAGTAGTTGTGGATATGTTTTTCAACCTCATTAATTTGGGCTGAAAATGACAGAAATAGGGCAGGATCATCCTCTCCCATTTTCTCAAGTTTTTTCTTATCCACAAAAGGAATAATAAACACAAAAAAGAAAGTAAATCATACAATTGCATAATCTTGAATCAGATTTGCTAAGAAAATAAATAAATATGTAAATAAATAATAATATCTAAAAGTCAATGAGGGCTTATGGCTTGTGGTGGATTAATTAGGTTACATAATCGGGATTACAATAACATTAGTGGATCTGATCTAATTTTATTGTAATTCAAGTTACTTTTAATTCAAATTGTTTATAATTAATATTTAAGTTATGTGTCTACATAGATGGTCTTTATTTATATATAGATACTAGCTAGTTG